TACAACCAAACATTAAATAACTAAATTAATATCAAACTAACCTAGCATGCCAAAAGATCCCACATTACCTCAAACAGCTAATCAAGCATATTTTTCAAAAAAAAAAAGATATATTTAAGATGGTCTTTTTTTGTGCTACAAAATATAAATGTCAAATGAAATCACTTATAAAACATCATGCTTGGAGTGGAGACCAAGAAATTGGTGAATGTACTAAATATGATAATTGTCGTCATCACATCAAAGATAACCCAACTATTAGAGATGTAATACCCGATATTGAAGAGCTATTACGTGTCGTAGAGGTCTTAACCACAAATTACGATCATCAAATCATACCTGCTGATGTTGTAGGTGTATTTAGGAGATCAGTCTATAATATTTTGCACATTTTGACTTTTGTTTTCTTTTTCGCTATAAGTATCAATGTTTAAGATTAAAAATTTTCTATTTGATAGTATCTTTTTAGAAATGCATAGCGAATTAAAAACTTTAAATGATGAACTAAATGAACTTTATGAAGTTTATCAACCGAATAATTTAAAGGATGATAGTGATAGTGACGGTGATAGTGGCAATGACAATAATTATGGTATAGGTAATAGGAGCAAAAATATATCATCTGAAAGTCAGGAAGATGATGTAAATGATAATATAATATCTGAAGAAGGCCATGAAAATAATGTAAATGACATTTTTACTTTAAGACAAATTGATGAATTCAAAAAAATTTATACCCTCAAACCAATACAAGCATCTATTAAAAAAGAAAAAAAATCTTCAAGAAAATTAGAAAAATATATTGATGAGGTGTATTTAAAAAAATTAAAAAATCCATGTTGTCAAAAGCATTGTATTACGATTATTAATGTACAAAAAGCTCTTAACCGTTATCGTGAAGTAAAAGCATTATCTCAATCAGAAAGTAATTTTTGTTTTTTGAGAATGCTAAATGCTAGTGCTAGATTCGGAATGTTAAATAATAGAGTATCAAAAACATATTTAACAACCAATTACAATTTTAGTGGAATATCAGTTTGTCAAACAGCTTGGCTAACTATATATGGTATTGGACGAACTAGATAGGAATCATTATGTGCACATTATCAACAGCTTGAACTAGCTCCAAAAATCCATAAATTAAGTAGTTGTGTTAGTAATTTTGCAATTTCATTTACTATAGTATTACATGTATTAAAATTTATTAGAAATTATGCAAATCAACATGGTTTGCCGTCTCTGGGTAAATAAGATAATTTTGTTATTTATAGTAATATTACAAATCAAACTAAAAAATGCAATTGATTAGTTGGCCAGAAAATTTTTTTAAAAAGTAGTTATCGATTAATCGATAAGTTATTAATTGACTAATTGATTAGTTGGTATATCAATATATTGCATACATAGCATTTTTGATTTAAAATGCTAATTTATAGTTTATTAATTAATTATTTAAATTAATTATTAGGGCGAAGCTTTCGGGACAATACTAAGGAAGTAATTTATTTGCCTGCATATGAAAGCAAACGTTCATTATTTAGACTTTATGATAACATCAAAAACAATGAGGATAATAAGATTAGTCTTTCCATTATTAACATCGACACACTCTTCCCAACAATCACTTGTACCCAATTTTCTTACAAACGAAAAACAGAAATTTGCTGGAGCTAGTTAAAAAAGCACTATAAAGTAATGGTTTTTACAAAGGTCAACCAAGAGTACATTCTTCTTTGGTTCTCTTGGGGACTCTTAGGTATATTTAGCATGCAAACAAAAGCATCTTTATACAAGATAACTGGCAGAAGATAGTGCCCTTGTATAAGAAATTTTAGAAAAGTAGCAACACTTTTGTCGATGAAGTTCTATATAGTAGGCTTGAAAGGTGAACAGCAAATAAAGCTTTCTCTACACTCTTTTAAGAATCTATGGATAC